CCCCGGGGGGGGGGAGGGGGGGGTGCATCAGATGAGTCTAACAGTGAATTTTTGCATTTCTATGGTCTAGAGCCTCATATGAAGTATATTGTGACATATTTATGCATTTCAGTCTTCTATTATGTTTTGAAACTTCATTTGCTATTTTTTCGTATCACTTCATATTATTTTTTTTAAAACAATTTCTTAGTGATTTCTTCCTCAGTACTTCAACTGTCCTTTTGTTTTTTTATTTTTCTCTTTCATGGATGCCGTGTTCTTTAGAAGTTTGATTAGACAAAGTTAATGGCCTTTTAGGCTTCCTCCACATGAATAGGAGTTTACTTTTTAAATAAGAAGAATTATATGTTGAGGTTGGGGAGAGGGTACATCAGGATTTGAGAGATGCTTAGGTGGGGCATGACCATAAAAAAGGTTGGGAACCACTGCTATAGAGGTACAAAATAGGCACAGGACCTCCAAGTTTACAGTCTAGTACAGCCGTGGGCAAACTACGGCCCGCGGATCGATCCGCCCGTTTGAAATGAATAAAACTAAAAAAAAAAGACCGTACCCTTTTATGTAATGATGTTTACTTTGAATTTATATTAGTTCACACAAATACTCCATCCATGCTTTTGTTCCGGCCCTCCGGTCCAGTTTAAGAACCCATTGTGGCCCCCGAGTCAAAAAGTCTGCCCACCCCTGGTCTAGTACCAGGCATAGACATCAGTTGTAGACACAAGGAACTCATCCACTATTGAAACTGCAGGTTTGGGGGTCTATTGAAACTGCAGGTTTGGGGGTGAATGGCCTAAGAGCCTCCAGGAAAGATGTCAATTGCCTTTCACAGGATTATCAAAGAATTATTGGATCACAAAAGGTAAACAGCCAAATCCAAATAAATATCTCATCCTATTCCACACTCCTACATTTTTTTTTCTAAAGGTTTCATTTTTCATTACTCCAAGTAACAAATGCTGATGGGAAAGGACAACTAACAAGTACATTTATTGGTTCCCAAGTCTAGAAAATTTTAGAAGCATATACACCCACCCCCCCAACGCAAATCAGAATCCTCACACAAACAGCAAGTCTGAGAGCCCATATCCTGTAAAAGGCAAGAGATTCTGAAAACGATCGCTTTCATAAGCACAGGTATTCAAAATGATGTCATCAACCCTTAACAGGATTATTATAGTTCATGGATTTTAACACCACTGAAATGGAGTTGTCTCAGTTATTATATTACAATTTCTTATGGTTATTTTTTTTTTTTAAAGATCTTTATTGATTTCAGAGAGGAAGAGAGAGGGAGAGATAGATAGAAAAATCGATGATGAAAATCATTGGTCTGCTGCCTCCTGCACTGGGGGATCCAGCCCACAACCCAAAAATGTGCCCTTGGCCGGAATCAAACCTAGGACTCGTCAGTCCACAGGCTCTATCCACTGAGCCAAACCAGCTAGGGAAGTATATTACATTTTAAAAATATGACCATGTCTTTTCTTTTCCTTAGCAGAGTATAAATACATCCTATAATCTATGGGCACCTTAGATTCAATGAAAATACAGTAGTTCAACATGCTTTTTCTTTTTTTAAACATAAATTATCCTGGTACATAATTATGTATGCTGAAAGAACAATTCCTTTCCATTCTAAGTCTCATTCCTCCAGGTTCCAGGTAGCTAAACTCTTCTGAAACTGCACTTTCCAACTTTCCACTACCACTAAATCCCACACCCAGCTTGCCTTTCCTATCTTCCCACCTTTCTACCTGCTAGTCAACAATTAACTTTCACACTAGGCAGCTTCAGCACCTTTCCAGGAAAGCATACCATCATGAACATTATCAGACACTCCTTTGCAACTTCACAGTGCTTAAAACACTCAATTTCAACCACTTTATTTCATGCTTTACTTCACACTGTTGTTTTTGTTAAGTCATTTTTCCTCTTTCAACTTGTCTTATTCACTGCTGTATTATCAATGCCTACTATGTAGTAAATGTTTTTGTTTCTTTAAACACTAGTTTAAAAAAATGAATGAAGGGGGGGGGAGGGCAATGGGGAGGAAAAAGGACCTATGTAATACTTTCAACAATATTTATTTAAAAAATAATAAATGACTAAATAAAAGAATGAATGAAAACAATCAAACAAGGGTCTAGGGCAGTGGTTCTCAATCTTCTGGCCCTTTAAAACAGTTCCTGCCCTAACCGGTTTGGCTCAGTGGATAGAGCATCGGCCTGCGGACTGAAAGGTCCCAGGTTCGATTCCAGTCAAGGGCATGTACCTTGGTTGCGGGCAACATCCCCAGTAGGGGGTGTGCAGGAGGCAGCTGATTGATGTTTCTCTCTGTCTCATCTATGTTTCTCTCTATCCCTCTCCCTTCCTCTCTGTAAAAAAATCAATAAAATATATTTTAAAAATAATAAATAAAAATAAAACAGTTCCTCATATTGTGACCCCCAACCATAAAATTATTTTCGTTGCTACTTCATAACTGTAATTTTGCTGTTATGAATCGTAATGTAAATATCTGATATGTAGGATGGTCTTAGGCGACCCCTGTGAAAGGGTCGTTCGACCGCCAAAGGGGTCGCGACCCACAGGTTGAGAACCGCTGGTCTAGGGTCTTAAGATTCCCATTCTCCAGCCTTGACCAGAACTCTAAGAGGAACTGGTCTGAGGGAGTACCAGCCTCTCTCAGATACTAACACAGCATTACCATCCATCCCCATTAACCCTATCCCACCAAAGGACCAGGAGAGGCTTCAGTGTCACCCCAAATAGCCCAAAAAGCACAGTGGGAAAAATCCTGAACACATCATCCCTGAAAGGCTCTCACTCACCATGCTTTTGCATAGGAGCCCCAGGATCTCCAGCAACAGAGAAGCAGCTTTGCCCAGGGGCCTCAGAGGTTTTGTAATCTCCCTATAAGAAAATTCAGTTGTTTTTGTTAAGCCCTCAACATACTACCCCAACCCTCCCTAAACATGGGCATCTTAGCCAACCACCCCTCCGTTCTCACCCCCCCTCCCTTTCTACCTCTCCCGAATTCCAGCTAAGGGAGCTCACCTGAACAGCTCCCCCATGGGTACTCCACCATCCTGCAGAATTGGCGTTACCAGTTCTGCTAGGTAGAGCCACACGTGGGGGATGTCAATTTCCATGTCTTCAGCCAATTCTAGGATTTCAAACAGCCTGCAAAGGGAATTCAAAATTAGGGCATTCTAGGAAAGAGGAGCCAGGTGCCTACCCTCCTGTTGGGGTAATAAGGCATGACTAAAGAATTGAACATGGAGGCCATCAGGAATATTTCCTAAATATGGGGCAATTATCTCAAGCTAAGGACACCTTCTTGTTCTTAGATGGCTCAACCCCCTACCCCTGACTAAAATGATGTTGACCAGGATGGTTGAGGAACCTACATTCTTCCCCAAGGTTCCACAGGTCCTACAAAGGAAGGGAATTTGTGGTTTTGTAAAAGTGGGAGGGTCACAGAAGTCGGTCATACCCTTGATAGTACTGAGCAGTGGAGAGGTGCCCAGCACAGAGCAGCTGGTGCAGCAGCTGTCCCATATGTTCACGTGCAATGGCACTGCGCTCCAGTGTGGACTCGATGCCATGCCGCACAAAGATGAAAAGCAGGGAGGGTGAGGCCAGCTCCTGCACACACTGCACTGCCTCCTGCAGGGGGCACAGGGTACAGGAGAAAGAGAGCAGTCAGAATCTGGTCTAGACTCTACAATGTATACCAGGCAGCACAGTCTCTGCCCACTCTACCATCACTCAGACCCCTTCCACTACCAACCTTCATGTCATTGAGATGGAGGTATTCCTCAATGATGGCCTTGGATTTCTTCTCCAGCTCCTCTTCTGATAGTGCAGCCTTAGGGGGACTCACAGGAGGCAAGGTGGCGTCTCGCTTCCCTGAGGGGTACAAAACAGATCAGAGACTCTTCAGTTCCAGTCTTTCCAGCAAACTGCAGCTCTGAAGACTGTCTAGGGACTAGACAGTCCCTAACCAGCCCACACCAATTCCCTTCCCTTCCTCTCTCAACCCCTTACCAGCATCCCGTCCACGGTCCCGTTCCTCTGAGAGGCTAGCTGCCTTGCGCAGCCCGTCAGGCTGGGAAGGCCGCTCTCTACTCCGTTCCTCCACTTCCTTGCTGAAGCTCCGCTTGGTGCCAGGTGTCCGAGAGCGATCTAGCCGGTCCCCACGATCACCTCCCCGCTCACTCCGCTCTAAGCGGTCTCCCCGGTCCCCAGCTTTCTCACCTCGTTCCCGGCTCAAGCTACTCCTGGAAGAAAGACAAGCACATGGTGTCTCACCTGTACTGCCCAGGAGTTCGCTCCTTTACCCAACATGCTGAGCAACCATCAGGCCTTGTTCCTGGCATCAGAAATATGTCCCATGCTCAGCCAGGGCCTCTCAGCATTACAGTTGTGTGAGGATTCCTATGGCAACAACCCAAACCCAATCATGGTATCCTCCATGTGCGTGAAAAACAGAGACCTAGGAAGCCTCACCTCTGGGCCACACGTCTGTTTTCTGTGCTTTCAGTAGGTGCTGCCTGTTGAAGGGCTGAGAAGCGATTCAAGGTACTAGTAGCTGATCGAGCAGCTTCTGATGCTGGGGAGGCAGTAAATGAAGATTAAGATATATTTTCTTACATCCTATCACCTACTTGCCAGTTTAGGACTCTTGGTCCTAGCCCCAACACTAAAGCATTTCAGTCCCTAGTCCCACCAAGTAGTCCACGGCTCCTGCATTACCTAACCACACTGTACTGAAAGCCCCACAGACAGGCAAGGAGACAAGCCTCCCATGCAGACAATGCTCTACCCTCAAGAGAGCTCATTACTAATCACCCAGCTCTTTACATTGGCCTCCCTACCTGCGTCAGAGGGCTTGGCTCCTGAGCCTCCACTGCTGCCCTTGCCCCAGCTCAATCGCCCTCCAGGTGCAAAGAGCTGGTTGTTAGAATCGATGGAGCCAGGCTGAGGAAGGAAAGGGGGTGAAGAGTCATAGGTCTGACCTGGCCAAAGCCCCCAGCCACACAGCCATCAACAGCCCAGACCAGGGGCCAGGCAAGCTTTTCCTGTAAAGGGCCAAATAGTAAATATTTCAGGCTTTGCAGCCACACAGTCTCTATTCTAACTACTCAACACTGCCGCTGTCACACAAGAGCAGTCGCAGAGAATAAAGGGAATGAACATGGTTGAGTTCCAATAAAACTATGAACAATGAAATGTAAATTTTACATAATTTCACATCACATAACAACATTCACTTTTTTTCGACCAGTAAAAACCATTTTAGCCTGGAGGATGCACAGAACAGGGAATGAACCTACCTAATTTGGTATGCATGTCAGTGTGCTGACCACAGAGTGGCCCAGACCAATGTGATCACATGTCCTAGGGTTGGCAGTCCTGTCTCTAGTAATCTAACCAGTTAGTCTAAGAGGAAAATTTCAGCTGTCACTTTCCCAACCTCAGAGAATGAGGGGACGTAGACCCAAATTGTGTTTAATGCCTACTTTGATCCCTCATTACCCTCCTATTACAAACATCACCCCCTCCAACATACACACCCCTACCTTCGTGATCTTGGTGAGTCGTGAGGTGTCAATAGGGCGGCTGCCCTTACTGATGGGGACTGTGTTCCAGCCACCACCATCATCTACAAGTGGAAGGCCACGGCCTGGAACAAAAAGGAGAGCGTACTGAAATAGTGAGTAAACAGCCCTGTCCACTTGAGCTGACCCCAGCCTCGCTTCCTCAGATCCTCAGTTCCATCATGGGGTATCAGTGGCCCAGACACGTGGCACTAACAAGAAGTCATCAGTGGAAAGCACAACCCCTCACATTGCCCCTCCTCAATTGTAGCCTCAAACTCACTGATAGGTGGGCCTGGAGGGCCACCCCGACGCTTGTCGCTGCCCTTGGCCATTAGCTGCTGCACTTTTATGTGCTCCCGATGCTCCTCCAACTCCGCCTCCTTATGGATCTGGTCAATGGTCTTGGGACCCTGATCCCCTCGGCGTGGCACCCAATTGCTCTGTGGGGACATGAAGCCACCCACAAGATAATTACATCAGAGAGGCCAGACAAAGCAGGCAGCAACTGGGGGCTATGGGGTCAGAGGCAGCAGATTAGTAGTGGGAAGGCGGGGACACACACCCGTCGCAGATCCAGCACGTCTTGCAGCATGAAGCGGATTCGGGATGAAGTCTTCTTTTCCTTAATTATTTTCTCCATCTGGTTGAAATATTGATCCATTCGGGGCTAGGGAGAAGCAGCAAAGAGATCAGGCCAGGAACTTCCGGCTACAGGCCCTTATCTCCATCACTGAGATTCAGTGGCCCAGACATGACAGCCCAACAGGGAGTTTATCAGTGGACAGTAGGCCCCACGTACTTCAGCTTGTCCCCTTCTACATCCCAGGACCCCTACCTTGGCTTTTTCAAAGTCTAGGTCTTTGCCAATGGTAGTGAGCAGACGGCAAAGGCATTCAAGGGACTCTTCGTCGTGGTTCTTAAGTAGTTTAACTACACAGTCATGCATTATTGCCTCTGTTAACATCTTCAGCTTGAACAACTCCCCAATAAACTTGATATTCCCTAAAGAGCGCCGCCGGGCTATATCTCGAGCCTCTTCCAGCTCTTCCTTCAGGCGTCCCCGTTCCTCTGCCTGGCAGTCATGAGACAGGGAACACATCAAAAAGATACCCAGCCACAAGGCTAAAACCCTCTCCTCCACCATCTGGATTTCTATACCCAGCAACAAGCACTCATGTCCTCAGGCAGAGAAACCCCCATACCACTATCCCCACCCCCAATTCTACAGCTAAGTAGCTTCTGAATAAGCAGTGGAATTGGTTGGTTTTCTCTCACCGTAGCAGCTTCATCCATCTCTTTTTGCTTCTTCTCAAAAACTTCATCATCATCTTTGTCTTTTTCAAACTCCTTCTGACATCGATTCAACAACAGTTTTCGAAAGTTTACAGTCACTGTTGGCTTTTCTGTAGTGGGCACTTTCAGCTGTATGTCAAAGAGATTGTCACATTCAGATTAGTCCAGGGCAGGGAAGACCCTCACAGCCTTTACCTAAAAGCCAGGAAGACCTTTAGCTCCGGCTCTGCCTCCTCTTGGCTGCCATCAACAGCACAGACTGGAGGAGAACCGAGAAGCTGGACTCAAGAAGTGGGAGGCCAGACCACATGATTTAGAAAATAGTGGAAACTAACCGCCATGAGGCAGCGGCACATGTTGGCATAGGCCACAGAGAAGTTGGGCTCTGAAATGGCCTTCTCAAAGATGAGGTCAATGACCCCTTTCAGGCGTTCCTCAGTGTCGATGGCCAGCTGCGTCACTTGCTTCATCAACTGCTGGAACATCTGGGGTGTCAGCTTATTCAGAATGGCGCGCACCCTGCGGAACAGGTCCTGGTGGGAGAAGGAATAGGATCCAGTGAGGTTCTCAGACAGAGGCCACTGGGAGGGATGGAAAAGGGTATGAGAATGGAAGAGGCTAGGGATAGGATGGACAGAAGTAAAATAAGCAAAGTTGGCTCAGCAAACCCTGAAGAGAAAGAATAGAGACCAAACAAAGGACTTGCCAGTACCTGGGTTTTGCTGCCATCAGCATCCTCTTCCCCTCGGTCCTTATCAGCTGCTGTCCGCTTGCTGCTGGGTTTCCAGGCCTTCTCTGCTTTGTTCAGTTTTATATCTTCGGTCATTAATACTGTAGCAATGATCTTGCGTGGCTCCTTTCGGGGGCCCTGCTGAGAGCGCCGGGGTCCCAGACCAGCCTGCTAAGCAAGGGATGAGGACAAGAGAAGATACAGTAGTCAGCACAACCTGACACCAGTACCACACATCTTCAGGGCAAACTTCTCATTCCCCAATGAGATACAGAAGGCCACGCATCCCCACTCCCCTTGCGCAACTGCCCATCTAGCTAGCCCCACTCACCGGCCCTCGGGGCAGCTCCCCACCTGGCCCACCCCTTGGGGGCCCACGGCTGCTGAGGGTTGGTCGGCCAAGGTTGGCAAAGGATGGAGTAAAGTCTGGGCCACAATTTATGCCTTGAAGTCTAGCAGGATCCAGTGGCCGCAGTGGTGTTTTATTGGCCTGTGAAAAGAACAGAGAAGGTATCAGAAACAGGCTAGGGCCACTGACTGCTCTTTCAGGACCTCGGGCTCCTCCCCATCCATCCAGCCAGTCAGTACAAACTTAGCTTCCCCTCAAGCCCACCAACCTTGTCCAATACCACATCACTGATATGAGGCAATCCCTCCGGCTTCTGCATACTGGCAAAGATGAACTGAAAGCCAAGCAGGAACTCACGGTCATAACGCTTTTTCTCCTCAAGGTTTAGAGGCTTCCACTGATCTGTAAGGAAGATACATGAACCAACCATACTGTCTCCTGGGGTCCTGATAAGAGTACTCGGCCCTCTCAACCCTTCCTTCAGCATACCTGACTTATATTCATACTTCTGTTCCCCAGGTTGGATATTCTCAGCATTGTGGATTTTGTCTTCCTTTGAGTCCCAGGTCTCATCTGGTTCCTCAGGTCGTGTGGGCACACTGCTGCTCTCAGGCTCTGGACAGGGGTTGTTGCCTACAGAAGGCTGATTTTCCACCTCCGGTACTCCTGGGTTTGCCTGGAACCATGGGGACATTCCGTTTGGTTGCAGTTCAGCCACTGTTCCATACCCAAACTCTGCCCTCTGCTACTATCTGCTTCCTTACCTCCTTGAAGGCATCCAGAAGGTCTCCTACAGCTTCCTTCTTATTGAGCTCCTTAATTTTCCGTCTCCTCTTTGGCACAGATACTGCCACTATATTTGGGGGGGGTGGGGGGGGGCGGGGAGAGAAGGAATGGGAATAACTTAAGAACTGCCCCTAACCCCTAGAGGGAAAAAGCAGTCACTGTGTAACATTTCCTCTTTCCATCACACCCTCTTAAAATACCTTAATCTAGTTTTTAGTTTCCATCACAGAGCTTCTGACCCAGACATAATAGCACAAATGGGAGATCAATAAATAGAAAGAACCACACCCTCCAGGCCTGACCCACCTCCACCATCCAGCCACATCTTACCTTGGGTGGCTGCTGCCGCCTCCAAATTCTGGGACAGGTGGGCTGGAACAGGGGTACTCTCTGGGGGAAGCAGTTCCTCTCCTCCCTTCTCACTCTCAGCTTCTCCAGGTTCTTCTTCTTCTTCCTCCTCCTCCTCCTCCTCCTCCATTTCCTCCTCTGGAGCAGGGGAAGTCACGGGAGGAGCCATAGCTGGAGTGGCAGAGAGGATGGTGCGGGGAACCACTGGTGCTGGAACCTCCTTGGCCTGCTCCTTTGGCTCACTGACTGGGCTCAAGTCCGCAGCTGGTGGTGAGGGGGCTCCATTGAGCAGTTCCTCAGGTTGGGCAGTTGGAGCAATAGGCATGGGGGATTCAGAGGGACAAGCGGGAGGAAGGAGAGGGGAAAGTTCTGGGTTTGAGGACTCTAGCTCTGGTTCTAGATCCTCAGATGGGACCGTGCCATTAGACTCAGGAAGAATTTCCACCTTGGGAGATGCCAGGGGGATGGAAACCTGGAGAGGACTGGAAGAGAACTCAGATTCCGGAATTGGTTTGCTAAGTGTCACTTCTACTTCCAGTATGGGTTCATCGAGGGGAGTGGGTTCTGGAGAGAGACAATATGGCTCCCCGGTTTCACGGGGCATGGGGGATGATTCTTCTACAGACATTTGTATTATCCCCGTTGTCATAGTGTCCCCAGGAATAGAGAGGACTGCAAGATTAGGCTCAGATCCTGGTTCCAAGATTGGGGGTGGTGATGGGGTCGGAGAAGGTGATGAAGGCTGCGATTCTGAAGGGCTATGCTCTGTGCCAGGCAGCCCCGGCCGGCCCCCAATGATTGCTCCCTGTGACCGGTCATCTGCACCACAGGAAGAAGAATGAGTAATTAAAGGCAAGTCTTTCTCTGTTGTTCCTCCACCTCCGCCTCCCAGCCAAGGCATTCCCAACCTAATGCTCCCTTCCCCCAGTCTTCTCCCACCTAAGCCTTTTCTCTTTTCACCCAAAACTCAACCCACACTCAAAATCCACTACCTGAAACTTAAGTCATTCTTCTCTGGCACCTGGTTCAAGCCACCACCCCAACTCCTTGTCATTTTATTTTATTTTCTACACCTCCTTGGCATTTTAAACTGTCGCACTCCTTTTCCCCGTAAAAGCTCTGCTCCACATGCTTACACACCTGGCCGGACAACAACAGCAACCTGGGGAGTCTCCCCATTAGCTTGAGGCTCCAGGCCGACTCCCGTCTGCAGGACACAAAATGTTACCAACTTTGCCCTAAAGAGTCCCACAACCCTCTTTACTAGAGCCATTTCTACTTTAGCTCTGCCTAGAAATCCAGGAAGCAGGGAAATAAATCCCTTAGTTGAAGGAAAAGACCACCGGACTTGGGAGTCCAGGGCAGAATAGCCATCCCAGCCATGGTCTTACTTAGCAGACATTACCTGGGGAGGAGTGGGTGTGGAGGCGGTTCGGGCCCCAGACATGATTTCCTCCGTGATATCCTTCCCTCCTTGGTTTGGATCTCGAATTCGGATCTGAGGAAAAAAAGCTACAGGATCAGTGGAAGGCAGGAGGAGCCCACCTCTCCACCCTGCCCCACACCTAAGACTCCAGGCCACCCCTCCACCCTCCCACTGGGAACAGGTGGGCGGGTGCCGGAAACCCTATGAGTTCTACTGTCAACCCATCCGGCTGCTCTTGTAGTCCCTGCCCTGGTCCCCACCCCTGAGACCCTTGACCTCACAGAGCAGCCCTGTACATCACAATGCTCCTCCCTCCCTCATCCCTGCCCCAATAGTCCCCAAGGCAGTGGCTGCACACCCTGGGGCCCAGGACCCCCATCTAGGACCCATTCGGCTCACTTGTGGCTAGCCGGCCTGATCGCTGGGGGCAGGGCCCAGATCCAGTGGGTGGAGCCAGGGTGACTCAGCGGCTTCCCCAGCCCTGGCACCCTATTCTGGGCACCACGCCCAGGGCTTGAGGATTGAGCAGAGGCGGAGGCCTCAAGAGCTTCCAGGACTAGGGGGTGGGGGTGGGGCCACAGAAAACTAACCATTTCTAAAGCAAGCCACCAGAAACCTAAAACCAAACATAGATCTTATGGACCCCAGAACCCAGGTCTCTCAGGAATTTCTCCACCAGCCACTTTAGTCTTCCCATGAGCTTCTTCTAAAGTAATCTTAGCAACATACAAAAAAACATGAGCACTTCACAGATCCCCATTCTTTGCCCATTTCAACTGAAGATCTCCTTCCTCAACTTCCTGCTCCCTGACCCACAATGCGCCTGACCTTGATTCTCCCTTTCCAACATGTCCGAGAGCCCCTTGTTGCTACTCACCGTTTTCCGCTCCCTCTTGGGAGCAATCTGGGGTGGCTGGTTCATCAAAACCGGGGTGGGGGCCACACCAGTGGGAAACTGCTGCACACCCTGGGCTGGGTAGTAGGTGCCAGCTTGGCGGGGGAGGGGGGAGACGACACAGGGAAAGGAAGAATGGTGGCAGCGTCAGGGCACAACCATATACAAATGCCTGTTTGAGTACCTCCCAACCCCAGAACTTCTCATCACCCACAGCCGGCCCCTTGCCCTGCCCCACCTTCCTCCCCAAGGGAATTAGGTGTCTATCAAAGCTGGGGAACCAGTCTGAGCTGCGTTTACAAGAATTCCTGACACTGGCACACACACCCCTTATAGGCAGGGACTCGTTCCCCATCATACACCAGCCACCAGGATTCTGTCTGTCCTTTTTCCACCTGGTAACATGCTGTACGTACCCCACCCCAGGCACCACGTACACATATACTCTGAGGGAGCAGCAACTACTTAACCTGAAACAGAATCAGGTCCTTGGCTGGGAATGAGAAAAAGATTTGCCAACCCTATCCACTCAACATGAGTCCAGTTCCAGTCTCCAGCCCTTTGCTCAGGAGCAAGGCAATAAAAAGTAAAATTATGAACCAGGCCCAGGATGAGGAAAAATTAATTCCTTAAAAGCAACGGTCTCCAAAGTGGGATACATTCTTTAATCTCATCCATAATCTCCACTTGTTTTTCACAAGCAACCTAAGTATTATTTGTTTAAATTATGCAAATGTATAAACAAAACAATAACATTAGAGGTACCTAATCAAAATTTTTCCTGATAGATGATCAAAAAACTCTGGAAACCACTGCCATAAAGAACAGACTAATCCTCTCCAAGAATATAAATGAACAACAGCCACAAAAACCTCCCAAATCCATGGCTCCCTGCACCCATGGAATGAGTATCACAGGAAATGTTTACTTACAAGCCCTCAAACTGGTGCCTGATCCAATACTCCTTGCGATGGGGAGACTCCAACTCACAGAAATAGGATAAAATTCCCCATCACCCACACATATCCCTACAACCTACTAACCCTATCATTTTTAGACCAAGAGACAAGCCTAGAAAGGGTATTAGGAATTAGTGAGTGTAGATGTCCCTTGTACTCAACTCTCACCTGATTCCCCCTCCCCTGCTTACCATAGGTCCCAAACTCTGTAGGGCTTGCACCCGGATAGAAACTTGGGGCTCCAGGCTGCACAGGATACTGCTGTGTCGGAACAACATATGTGGAACGCCCCTGGTGAGGGGGAAGGGAGAGGAGGAGGGGGAGAGAAGGAGTTGAGGAAGCTGAGTATCATATCAGACTACAAAGAGAATGTAGGGCAAGATAGGACAAGCCATTAAAACAAAAAGATAGGACAAGCCAACTCTGAGCAGTGACCAGAAAGAAGTCCTACCCTACGGAGAAGAGATGGGATTGGGGAGATGAGGGTTGGAGTACAAGATTCTGGCTTCCAGCCCCCAGCCTCCAGCCTCACCTGTCCAGGGATGTAGTAGGCCCCCTGGGAGGCTGAGTAGGAGATCTGGGAAGGGATCATCATTACTTGGGATCCAGCAGGGTAGACATGGGCAGCTGGGCCAGGGCGGGCGGGGGCTGCACTCTGCACTCGGGAAGCTGCACTGCTCGGGGGCTGGGCCCGGCTAGGGTAGAAGTGCTGTCAAGAGGGAGGAAGGCAGCTGATATTAGGAAGGGGCCACTCTGCAGTGTTTCTGGTCTGGAGAGAAGTACTAGGGCTATGGAGCATGGGGCCCAATCCTTCCAAGACCCACTGCACCAAATGATGGTTAAGTGGCCTCTTGTACCTACACATGCCCTCCACACTGAGGTATACACTTCGCACCCTGTGTATTTACTCCCTCACTGCCATGCATACTCATGTCACCTCCACCAGGCTACCCTTCTGCACAGGCTTCCTAACACCCAGATGCGTTATGCCTAACTAAAGCCTTTTAGGACAACATACTCCCAGCATGCACTGCTCCACCCTGAAGTACTGAGGAACTAACTAACATGCAAAGGTCACCCAGTTGCCAGGTATACAGTGCAAGATTTAGCCCCTAACATGCATCCGTCAGTCGCAGACTGAAAACCTAGACAGCAAATAAGTTCCCACCCTGAAGCCTCTAGTCCCTAGGCCTAGCCCCGGACTAGGACAGAGGGTAAGGGTGAGACCAGGAGGAGGTCCAGAATTAGCAAAGGGGTATTACCTGCAGAGACCTGAATCCTCCCTGAGAGCACATGGGGACAGGAAAGAAGAGCATTATCCCCAAGGTGATGGGGGAGGGGGGGGAGGAAGTAGGACAAGAATCCTCCCACTTAGTGAGGAAGAATTTAGGGAACACAGAAAGGCAAGAAGCAGCTGGAGCAGCTGGAGTGTTTATCTTGCCGTAGTCCAAAGAGAAAGAAGGGAAGGGGAATGGAGCAATGGCAGCCTCCCAGTAAAAGGAGGAAATAGGAAAGGAGTTGGCAGCAGGGCCCAAAGTACTGCCCCCAATTCTCATGGCACCAGGACCCCTAGTAATGTCACCCCCACCAACTACATACTCCCCAAAGGGCCGTAAGTAATCACCAGTGCAAAGTGCAGAGTCGCATGAAAGAACAGAGCAACTGTCAGGAAACTGGGGCAGGTACAGGCCCTCCATAGCTTCCATCCAGGCCCAAGCTGGCTTAAGCTTTCCACAGCTCCCACCCAGGCCCCCTACTCCCATCCCCACAGCCCCTCACCTGACGGGGCTGAGAAGGCGTGTTCATTTGTGTCGCTTGTGGCGTACTGAACACCACCGGTGCTGTCTGCCCCGGGGGAAACGCTGGCTGAAGGGGGAGACCAGAGTTCAGCAAGAGGGGAAACCCGGGTGGGGCAGAAACCCAAGCTGGTGAAGTAAGGGGGGCAGATCTGGGGCGAGAGCCTCAGCAGTCCACATACCCCCTCTCCATGACAGCCCCCGGGAACAGCCAGGAGCCCTGTCTCAATTTGGCAGCAGAAAACTGCACTTTGCCCTGACACAGATGGGGGTGGGAAAATCCAGAGGGTTTGGAACCTGTTCCTGACCCGCCGCCTGATCTCCCCCACCCCCACCCGAGTCTCGGCTCATTCCTTCCTAATTACCTGTGGGAGTCCAGGGGATGGGGCGGGTGGGGGGCCTGTGGGCTGTGGAGCTTTGTTCATTTCATTTGGTCCACATCAGGGTCCCCCCAACACCTGTTGGGAAAGAGTGGAGCTCGGAAAGGGGAAGGGACCCAAGCTGAAGGCAAATGGAGTGGGGGAGGGGGGAGGCAAGGGCTAGGTCCCACACGGAGCCCCCCGAGACGCAAGGGGGTGAAGGAGCAGGCAAGAGACAGCTGATGCCCCCACCAACACGTTGTCAACCTGCATCACCTCCAACCACCCCCCTGACCTGCTCAAACAGCACCCTCACTCACCCGCTCGGTTAAGAATAAGTCCACGGTGCGGCCTACAGGTTCTGGGCATCCGAGGGCCTGGGGTTGGGAGGTGAGGGGTATCAACCTGGCTCCGCGGGGCCCAAGACCAACCAGACCGGAAATTCCAGGTCTCGCTGGCACCAGGCTCCCGGATCATAAACGGAGCTAGCAGCTTCGGCCGTGGTGTCCCCACCCCCCACCTGGGGACACCGGGTTCCGGGCCTGGCCCAGGGGCACACAGGCACGCCTGCCGCGGGTGGCCACGGGGGCACCCGCGCGGGGCCAGAGGCGAAGCCCGCCGCCGCCCAGGAGTGGAAGCCAGGAAGGGCGGGAGTCGGGCAGTAAAAGGCCAGGCGGGCGGCGGCCGAAGAGGAGCCGGTTTCAAGCGAGGGTCGGCCTGGAGGGCGGGCGGGCGGGGCCGGGGGCTCCTCCCTGCCCACCGCCGTCGCCTCCCTCCCCTGCGCCCTCCCTGCGCAGAGCCGACCAGTGCCAAAGAACAACGTGTCACTTCCCGGCGGCCGGGCCGCAAAGGGGGGAGGGGGCGGCGGGCCGGGAGCCGCGGTGCCTGCGCCGGCGGGGCCTCCTCGGGTCACACCGCGGCGGGACTTCGTGGCCGGTGAACCCGACGCCCTCCCAGGCCGCAGGGACCGCATATTCTGGCCCCGCGTATTCGCCCACCCCCACCCTGCCGCCGGGCCGGCCAGGCCGG